TGGAACATAGGGAAACACCATTGCATGCAAAATCGTATGTTCCAATATAAGATAAACGCATTGTATGTAATAAAGAAATACAAGGCTGACATAAAACTATAAAAACATTAGGGTGTCCCATTAGAAACCGGTACTGTATTACTGATATCGTAATTTGTTGGGTACTTCCTGTATACTGAATCAGTTACTACATTTTTAGTCGGTACAGACAAAATACTTTACTTTTATTTGAAACTTTTTGGGATTCCCAAAATTAATGAAATTACGCGGGGGTCAAAATATGCTAAGAAGCCCTATACATCATTCGGTTGTACTTTTTTTTTTACGTAAAACTTCCGGGTTGCATTAGAAACATTAAACGTAAGAAACAGGTTGACCGTTCATTTCTGGAATTAAGCGTTTGCAGAATATTCTAAGCACAGTATGAAACTTCTCAACTGCCTCAAAATCTGAGTATAATCAATACCAATACAAATACTTGCATCCCCAGACTGGTAAATTTGTATACGAAAAATGTTGTGGAAAATTATTAATACCTCATTTCATCTCCTGGAAGAAATGAAGCCTGTAATGAAATGCGCCAAAAAGGAAAGGTACAAGAAAATTACACGGTCTCAAGCTCTCTGTGATTCAAGTAAAACCTTTGAATGCGTTAATCATAAAGTTCTACTGCAAACATCCCCAGGATCTATTTTGAATGAATGCTGCGACGTTCTTAAGCTCTATAAAGGAAACAAAAAGTAATACCTACTCGGTCGCACAATTTTTAACGTGACTATGTTTCCTTTAAGTTTAATTTAGAGCCTTTTAAAGACAGATTTATTTCAAAATTATATCGCGCTATTTAAAGAATGTATTGTAACCATCGTATTATTCATCTCCAAATAAATCCTTAATGTGAAAGAGCTCTAGCTTCACTCTAAACCAAATGAGAACAGCTATAAGATTCAGTACATTTTAATATTGGCAACATACAATTAAACCAAAATAACGCCAATGTAACGCTTTGTGTATGGAACAATGACAAATGTCAAATTAATAATGGAACAATACAAAACGCAAACATGTACAGGGTGGTTCAAATTCGTGGCCCACCATTACGATCTTCGCTTCAGTGAGCGATACCATTCTTTTCGCCGAAAAAAGGTGATATCTCAGTTATTTTCAAAGATTATTCAAAAATTTTAAATACTTTTTTAATCACTTTGCCCCCTTTGAATCTAAACTGTATTTTTCATGGTTACGGAGATCCCAATGGTGAGCCAGGAATTTGAACCACCCTGTACATATTGTCATACGAACTTTCTATGTGGCATCAGCGCCTATAATAATGATAATGACCCTGTTGTGTAAATTTCAATTTTCTTTTAACGTAAATGCGATTTTGTTTAAGAATTATTTGTTACGTAATTTTAAGGAATCGCGTAACATTTTGATTTAATTTTGTTGTTCATTTAGAAAGATTAGAATTGTTATCTCATTGAAACCCGGTCATTGCGATAAGAAATTTGTTATCGCTGTGCAAGCTAATTAGTTGGAAGATAAGCAGGTTTCGCCGATAAGAAAACACAGGTGCACAGTTGGCAAATTCAAGCAGAGGAGAGGCGGGAATTAAGAAAGATAAAAATGTTTTAAATAACACAGGAAAACGTGAATCGTGGATCTTTGTGATTGACGTTAATCGTTTTTTTTAATGGATTTTGAAACTCGCTTATTGTTTTGCTGATTGGCCGTTTTGCCATATTTGAGCATATTATTGCAAGACTGTCTTGCCAGTCGTAAATATTTGTAGAATAAGTTATAGTTTAGTGCTCTAAAAGGTTTTTATTACGCCGTTTGAAGTGAATGTTCAAAGCCGAATTATAGAGGTGAAGTTTACGAAGGATTTTGTGGGAGTGTTGTGTTTATCGAGCAGTTATCGCTTATGTGAAACCTTTCTTTAAGGCTTTCAAGTATCAGTTGAAGGGAGTTTTTCCACCACCAAAAAGCCAATTTTATATCTAAAAATGCAACGAGCCAAATATCGTCTAGATCTAAGTGCAATCAGAAAAATAAAGTTCGCGAAGTAACATCAGTTGGTTTTTGTGTTTGCTTGTGCGTAATTTAAAGGGTGGTATTTGCCCTTTGACCTATGAGGGCCTATTTTTCCTTCAAATTGATTTATTGATCTTGTGATTTTGTTTCATCTGTAAATGGTCTGTGTTTAATGGAGCCCAAATTCCTCAGTGTTTCTGTTGGTACCCAGGGATATGCTATTCTATTCTATTCACAGGGGATCCCGATCGGGCAGCACTTAAGCACACCAAAGGCTTATCGTGCCCACCCCCTTTCTCTCGCAACTAGGTTCAGAACCCCTTTCCTCTCAATAAATGATGATTCTTTTTAGCCGAAGTTGGTTCACCCTTCTGACCCTTCTCGGTTCCAGATCGCTGTCGTCAAGGAGCTGATGTCTGTATCTGATCAAGGCGTCAAGGCATCGCATTTTTCAGATAATAACAATAACCTTTTATGTAGAACACTCTGTATTTACATCACATGACTGCTTATTAAATACTCTATAAAAGTGTTTAATGCACCATAGCCAAAATACTTCAAATAGCCAACTAGATCGAGATGGAAATAATTGAAAAATCTTAGTTATTGGAAGTATTTTGGCTATAATGCATAAAGAACTTTTGTAGAGAATTTAATAATGACGCATGATGACAGGGTGTTCCATATAAAAAAAAACATTTCTGTATTATCTGAAAAATGCGATGTTGTTTTGTTTTTAATTTCAGAATTGGATTCAGTAAAAAATACTAAATTTTGGCAATACAGCCGTGTTTCTAACTCTACAACTAAGAAAGTTGGCAATATTGTGGATTTAATTTGAAACAGACTGTATTTAGTATTTCAGTAATTAGCCTAAAATCCTCACAAATCCGAGTTTTTTTATCACCATATACAAATGGCAACTTACACAACTATAATGCCTTATGGGCAAATGTAAGGGTGGGAGAGGGAGGAAATGAAAGCGAGAGTAAGAATGAGTGGGAGAAAGAGTAAGGTTTTTACTTCTTTTTATAGTATGACTGTCACGAATTAATTTTCCATTTTTATAAGATGTTTGCAGTAGAACTTTATGAACACAATTAAAACCCTCACTCGGGGGAGAGAGGGGCGGAGGGGAGAGAGGGGTGGAGGGGAGAGAGAGCGACATTTTCTTGTACATTTCCTCCACCGGAACACGTACTGTTTCAGGTAACGAAATTATTGACTTTGAACTATCTTCATTATACGCTCCATTTCTTCCAGGAAATGAAACCGAGCATTAATAATTTTCCATTTTGCACATATAAAGTTGTCATTCTGTGGATGCGAGTATTTGTTAACCGAGTCAAGATAATAAGGTGTTCGAAATTATTCTGCAAACGTTAATTTCAGAAATAAACGCATTTTTAAAGTTCTAACATTCCTTCAGAAAAAGTAATCGTAAAATTTCCGGAAAATCAACTGAAAAATCCCCTAATAAGACAAATTGGCAATGTAAGCCATCCAAATAACATTTTCAAGTATTATATTTCATCCACTTTTGCCATTCTTTGCACATCTTAAGAGTATATTGGGTGATGCGATACGTCATTTGGAATTTTATTGTAATAACTTACACTTTGTTTTTGATTTCCATCGCGTTGGTTAATATAAAAATTAGTTATTGATTCGCGATTTTCGGCCTTTTCTTTCATACATTAGTTAAATGATCCGTATAGCTATAGACTGTTGTATGGAAGGAATACTAAATTTTGTCTGTAAGTGCCTTGAAAATGCACAAAAAAGCTCAAGAGCGTCTTGAAGGTTGTGCTGTAAGTACGCCGTGTCTAAAATAACCATACGCTGTTTGAATGTACCTATAGGTAAATTAATGAGTAATTTTTGTTATTTCTGAAAAATTATTGGCATCAAGTTAAGCAATTATGTCAAATTAAATAAAAATGGCAAGTTTGAAGTAATAATTATTTATTTCATACTATCTAGTAATCGCCGCTTTCCCAGACTGATTTGAGTCTGGTAAATCCCAAGGTTAGTAAACTTAATAGGTTGCATGGTAACTTTCGGCCAATAGGGGACCACGAGCGTGTGACGTAACTTTGTGCAAATCCATTTTAACAGCTAAACACTGATTTTCAAAATTTTAATTAATTCCTCCAGTTTTGGATATTTTCTATATTAATTGCGTTCTTTCAAGAGGTACATATATAAGTTATGATAACATACATACATTTCTGTGTTGCGATGTGTGGTTATGAACATTTACATCAAAGTTGAAAGTGGGAGTATGTTTCCTTTTACTCCTAAATTGTTATAAAAAATAAAAACAAAGCCGTTAAATGACGTTTTTTATAAAGTTCTATGCCTATTACCTTTTAGGATATGTCAAATTGCTAACAAAGTGTCGTAGTTTCTAAAAAAAACACTACAGACAGGAAATGGTTTTCTGACCACAAAGGCTAATTTATGAAACAAGACTTACGAATACATAAAGCAATTCTACCCGAGTACCAGCACGGAATCCTCTTTTCCTGGCATATTGTAAAGTATGAGAAAGTGAGCGTTCACATATGTGAATCACAGTCGGGTAACTGATCACATGTTAAATAAATACTAATAATCCTAATCAGATAAACTACTTCACAGTCGGTAAGTAATCACTAGCAGATTTAGTCTTACATTATCCTTATTCAAACGCCTGAATTCCTATCTATTAATCATTAACTACGGTCTTATCTTATCTAATTTACAAGATTGTTAAATAAGTACATGTTATTCTTAATAATTAATTAATTAATAATTCAGTACTTCACTTAATGTACAGATTAAAATTTATCATTATTTTGTCAAACATTATTAATTAGTGACTATAGTATAAAATTTAAAAGTTAATAATAACACATGAAAGCACAAATACAAAAATTAATTAATAGTTTTCCTTATTTTACATTTTCTTTTTCTTTCAGCACCTTCAGAACTTCTTTTTCTATCAGTACATTCTCTTTTTAAATTTAGATATTTAATTCTAATAAAAATTCTTTGCTTCGAAAATGATTTCACTAATTCATATGGAACATCTATTTTTTTCTTTTGCAATTTTTTGATAATGTAGTTTGTTGTCCTTTTAATAATTATTTTACCTGGAGAAAAATTATCTTTGTGGAATTTAATAAAGTAAGTTTCCATAACTTGCATCTGACGCATCCACTCAGCCGATGGCTGAATCAGACCCCCGAACGATAGACTTTGTACCCATGAGGGCATGGCGTAAGAATGTAAATTAAGAGCCTCTTCATCTTTGTAACTGTGCCCACCTAGGTATGGGTATTTATGTATAAATTTCTTAGCAATAAATCCTGCTAAATATTGAGTACCATCATCTTCCACCCAAGATTTTCTTAATGGGGCATCAGAAGCAGTACTCTCCGAACTGAAGCTTTCATTGAGTTCGGTTTCTTCAGTACTAGATGGTTCTGTTACCACCAAATTTTTAAGTTGGGCCTGCTTGACAGCAGCAGCCATCAAGTACTCTCCATCCATTTCCTTTGGTATTTCAACATTGGAATGCGTTTGGACCATTCCTGGATTTTTCCCTAATAAAATCATCCGTACCCGGTAAATTGCATTTAATGGCGAAGGGTGGTCATGTAAACCACCTTTTGTTCTTAACTGAAAAGTAATAAAATTAGAAAATTATTTATCATAATTCGTATACAAACCTGGGAAAAAAAGTTCTCTAGGCAGTCCTGGTTTAAGCGGTGAGTAAGTAAATATGAAATACCATGCCTCTCTTTCAAATCAGTAAATAGGCACTGTAGTGACTTTGAAGTTATTAGGATACCCTTTTGAAACACCTGGAGGGCGTTTTTTCCAACACACCTCATTCCTTCAATAGTTTCTTCCATTTCATTAAGGCATTTATGTTGCATTTCCAATTCTAAACCATACGGCTTTTTTGTTGGAAGAGAAGCAGTTGAGGTATATGAATTTAATACATCAAACCAGTTATTCACAAGTTCGGTAAAATTTCCTACATTTTGGGCTAATATTGTATCGTTCCCAGGCCTATAACGCTTCAAGGCGGTTGCGGTGGTATGTGAAAGCAACTGACAGGCACGTCTTACATTCTGTCGCTGCGCTTTTTCACATTTAACATGCTGAGTTGTCAGCCTGTGGCACGAACTGATTTCGGAAACTCTCGACTCAATAAGGGCGACAAAGGGAAATTTATTTATGCTAACACCATCACTGGTGACAAAACCAGTATCAATCAACCAGTTGCGCAACAATTTCATTAGATGGGGGGCGTCGGCAAAAAAATAAACTGAATTACCAGTAACAGGATGTGCTATCGACGTGTTACTTGTTGTAATGTTTAGTTCCTTCCACAATCCTTGATTGCCGCCTCCACAATCTGATACACAAGCAATAACCTCATACTTGATAGTGTGAAGATGGGTGATGATATTGTGTAAAAGTTGCTTCGTCATTTTTTGGTCAAATCCAATATATACTGGTTGCTTCCAGTTGTCGAAGAGACCTCTAGCCATGACAACCTGCATATATGAAAATGGCCCAATTACCTCCTCCTCTTTTTGATCATATTCGTATTGTGAGGATATTTTTACTTCATCGTATGAGAGGACAGTAATTCTCTTCAAGGGTGTTTTTATTTGGCCAGCGGTGTCCATAATCCTCAGTACATCATCTAATATCCCATTTTTTAGATTTATATTTGCGGCCCATTGCTGTAGTGTTGAAATGGCAGGCAATGGGTAATGAAGAGTTTGTCTTAAATAGATGTATGCCCTTTTACTAAAATATCTTAACGTGAAAGCCATCGATAGTTCTTCTTGTGTCCAACGTGCCTTTGACTTTTTCTTTAAGGCGATGTCCACATGATTTGAAGTAAGAACATCCTTAAAACATTCCTTCACCCTCTTTTCAAATTTTAAACCACCTAATTCCTTTAGTTGCATTTCCATTGCAGCAATTTTTTGTTTCAACTTTTGCTCACTTTCTTGAAACAATTTTAATTTTCCTGTCAATGCCTTATTTTCTTCCTCAAGTTTGACTACCTGGCTTTTAAGGATGTTTATCTCATTATCACGACTGTCCAATACCGTCCCTGAGATATTAATGCTGGGTGATTGTTCAATTGGTTCAACTATCGGTGAAACTTCAATCGCAGCAGTAACTTCTAAGCTTGGTTCTTGAATCAACGCTTGTACTATTTCCTTTCCTTCTCGTCTTGCAGCTCTTTCTTTTCTAGAGGACTCAGTGATAGTTTCTTTACGAGAAAATGGTAGATACAATGATGGTATGGCTGCAAAAATTATGAGGTATAGCAAGACATCGGATATTTACAACATTTACCATCTATTTTTAGTTTTTTGGCAGGAATTCCCATTATATTAGCCATCACTTCATCCTCGTAATCACTGGGCTGAAAATGCTTACTACAAATCTTTTCTTTCTTCGTATCAAACTTATCTCTTTGGTAGCATTTTTGTACCCATTGTTTTTGTACTACCAGGTTTTTGGGGAAACTGAAAAATTTTAGGCTTTCACCTGTGACCTTACGCCTGTTACTTTTGCAGGTTGCCACACTGCACATCATACCTCCCGACATCTAAAAAAATATTAACGTTAGTTACATTGATATGTAAGAATGTCGAATCTTGATTCGTTCCAACAACGGGCAAGAAAAACTCTTTTCCCGTGAAAGCTATAATATGATTCGACAGACATCGAATATAAAGTTTAAAAGAAGTACAGGTTACATGTATGTATATTTTCCAGCACAGGAGAAGACTTTTTTGCACGTGCCTTGATTAATAAGTATATTAACTGGTATGTAGAACTTACCTTTACCTGATCTCACAATGAAAACAAGTTTTAAATATCACAAAAGCCAATTTAAAATGGTTTCAAATTTAAATCTTGCTGCCTTAAATACAGTTCAATGGCTGTCACTTGCACACTGTGACGTCATTCGTACTTCGGCCCCCTCTCTTCGTTATGGTTGCTAGTAGTTACCATGCAACCTATTAACTTTACTAACCTTGGGTAAATCCTACCAGACTGAAAATTTTTACCAGATTGGAAATTTTGCCTAGCAACCGCACCTGACATCCATCTAAACGTATGCATTGATATTTGTCAAACTACTGTCAGATCAAACAAATCAAGTGATCGACTTTTGCTTTTATTTTAATGTGTACCTACAACATTCTAATCAAAATGGTATTTTAATAGAAATAGAGCAGTATGAAATAAAATGTTTTACATTATTTGTATGTCAAATCAGTTTACGTTACTCGTTTCGAAATTCCTGCCTCAGCTACGCTTCGGCAGTAAACATCTCACTCGTTAACGTAAACCTTGATTTACCATACTCATATGTAAATAACTATTACATAAAAGTCAGGAAAATGACACATTACTGGCGAAGAAATATTCAAGTACGAGGCCCCTTTGGGACCGAGTACTTTAATTTCCGAGTCAGGTAATGTCATTTTACTGACGAGTTTTGTATTAAATTTTACCCGATATCGTCAGTTAACATAAAATTTTAATTTTCATATAGAACTTCTGATTAATGCCAATCTGTCATTGATAACAGGAGTCATTATAGACATTTAGCAATGTGACAGGTGCGGCAGGAAAAGTGGAAAGTGCGGCTGATAAACACGGTACATAAACCGCTTCGAAATTAGATGTCGAAAGATCGGAGACCAATTTTATGTGAATCGCTTTAACTGCAAGGCATACAAATAAACATATATATGCCTTTTGACTACGAGCATCTCTATGACGATTTACCTAAATCTAAAAGCTAAAAATGGGGAAGATTTAATTCCAAAAGTAACCGTATTTTGTTGGTAAACGTCTGTGGGTGAATTTGGGGAAAATCGCCATAATATTTTTTGAAAATTTCTGTCAGATTCTTGTACCATAATTTCCCTATACATCTGTTTCAAATCTGCTGTAAAAGCTACATAAAATAAACGAAAATTTAAAAGGGTTGTGTCAATATATCCGATTGTAATTTTTCTCCAGTATATAACAAATCGTTAAGAGAATAATCGCTCTCTGTTTTACAACTAGCATCGAATACTATACGTTCCATTTATTTTTATTAATTCTGAGAATTGCTCTTTCTTAGTAAAAAATTGTTTAAATAATGTATAAATTGTTTAAATAATGAAAATCTAATTTGGGTACAAATTAGTCTTTAATTCATAGTTTTTAATGCGACTAATAAAATTTCAATCGGGAAAAGAGGGGATGCTAACTTGATTTCAAGTTAGCACCCCCACTTTAAAAATCGATTTTCCGGCAGAACTAAGCGGGTATAAATTCTAATTTTGTGGGTTAGTCCTAAATTATAGGCATATTTTTACTTGATTTGGGCAAAGTAAGGGTGCTAACTTTATCGACCTCAAGTTTATAAATCTAATGTCTGAAAAGGTATAGGTACAATGCACAATGACTCCTCGCTGTAACACAAAATTCATTAGAAGTTAGTATTTTTAAGGCCAATTCACACTATCGGTCAGATCACGGTCCGGTCAATTATTAACCGTGACCTGACTGTCAAAAGTGAATTGAAATAGCATGTTACAATATTTTGAGCGGAGCGTGAGAGAGCGTCGCCTGAGCTATAGTATGAATTGGCCTTTAGAATAAGTATATATTTAAGAATATTGACGATAAAACATACTTAAACGGCACTGTTTTTCCCCATTATAAGAAAATTATTTTAGAAAAGGAAATAAGCAAGACGTCTGAACCTGCGTGGCATAAAATTGCAGGAAATTTTCCTTTTCATTAAGCTTTCATGAAGGAATAATAAAACGAACGCTAAAAGGAAATTCAATGAAACTGTATTATCTCTCTTTGCTTCGCTTCAGATTTAAAGCGCTTATTATCATTAGGCATTTTTTGCTGCAAAATGTCAAAACAAACCACCATAATTCTTTAATGTTTGAATAGAACTATAATTCTCGCAACGGTATTGATCCCGCGTGGCATCGCATTCGAGGATTCAGTTCAACGGCTGAAATTTATACCATCGAATTCTATCAGATCAAAATCCGTTAGGCAAAGTTCAGGATGAAGTAGGATATTGGGATTTCACTGGATTGGAAAAGCATGCTAGCCTAGCAATTGAGGCGTATATGTTCCGCTTCAATGGGGACTTAGTTTTCGATTACCCTAATACAGTCTGCTCTAATTAAGCAATTCAAATAATTTCAGTTTTCGTTGTTCGAACTTAGAATGTAATCGAAACTGTCATAAATTACACTTTGCCGCATTTTATTTTCCGTATCGTTCCTTAAGTTATTCTTTGCATGGACGAAAATGCAAAGCTTTCACAATTTTCGCTTACCTGAGCTTTATATCAACCTCCGAGAGTCTTGCTGCATAAAGAAAGATAAATTTGTATGCTAAATGGCTTATTTGTTTCGTAGACGGGCCACGAGCAATATTCATGAAAAACCGATTTGTATCGTTTCCTCTTTTCATTTTAATAGGGCTGCAACCACTATGGATATCTACACAGAATTCTTTTATTTTTGATACGAAAAAGAGGATATGCTTATACTGCCTTTATTAAATTTATATAATATATATTCAAATCACGTAACTTAGGTATTTTCGTTTATAGAAATTTCTTTAAATATTTTTTACTCGTAAAAGAAAAAAAATTCTCGGGGTTGTCGAAAGGAATAGCTGATATCCATTGCAATCTGCAAAAACTATTGTAGTGTCATCGCATTTAACTTTCCGAGCAAATAGCTTTTATATCAATATCAGTTGCGGCGTTAGATTTAATGTTATATGTACAAGCGTTTATAAACAATAATAAATAAATAAATAAACAAATAAATAAATAAATTTCGTTTTAATGTCTCATAAAAAATGTACATTAAACCGGATAGGAAATCCGACCATTTATTTTTTACCTTACTAATTGAAAATGTAATTAATTTAATATTCATTAGTATTGATTTTCACAACTATTCTATATTGCTTTTACTTTACCCGACTTTTCTATGCTACAAATAAAGAAATGCAAGTAAGCAAATGGAATAATTTATGGCAGGTTAAATCAAGAGGACTCAAGTCCAATGTTTATGGGTCAAGTTATTTGCTATATTACAGTAGCTTGAGATTTAACTAATATTTGCCATGTAGTTGAACCTTTAGCTAGTATTAATTATATCATTATCCCATTCTGTAAAAATCCAATACGGTGCGTCCATAAGATATAAGAAAGCAGTATCCTGTAGCTTGTACAAGCGTGTTATGGAAATTCTGATAACCGTCCATTCCCGACCATTTAAGCTAGCGAAAATGGAAACCCAAATTTGACATTTTCAGTTTCTCGGTCATATCTCGGTTATTTTAAGATTTTTCAAAAATTTCAAATGTGTTTTGTTAGTCATAAAAGAGTAATTTTGTCCGCATTAACCTACACTGGATCTCTCATCGTTACGGTGTTGTTGGTCACTGTAACTGCTTAGTTACAGCTACAAGAGTTGAAGACTTCACTTGCATAAAATAAAATTGAACCTCTACGCACTGGCCGAAACTTTAATGTGACGATTAATTTATCTCCTATTAAATCCTGAAATTCAAAATCTAATGCTCTGGTTTGATTGAGCTCGAATAAATACGCATATTATTTTTTTCACGTTCTTGGATGTAAATTACGAGTTTGATTCATAGAAATAAATACAAAAATGCGATGCCTATCTCGTGATCAGGTGTCTATGCTAACTTTGATTATTATCTAAAACTCATTTTTAGCACAACAAACTACTACAAATTCTCCCGTCCAAAATACACACATCTTTGAATGCTAAACAAAATTTAATCTAACCAAAGGAATAGTATCACTGAAATTAAGAGAAAAATTCCAATCGATGCATTAAAATGACCAAAATCCTTTGTTTAGATTCAATTCTTATTTATA